CCGAAGCCGTTTACTCTGATGAACCGGCTCATCCAGCCTCGATCTTTGTCTTCATTGTTACTAGCAAAAGAGGACTTCTTTGTTCGACGTTGCAGCTTGATGAGCCCTCGAAACAGCTGGGGCCGATACAGCCGAATAAGATGATTGAGGGTAAATTCCAATCCCTCGGCCTTTCCAGAAAAATAACGCAGCATGATCATGATGTGCCAAAAGGAGGGATGGATCTGGCCGAGGGTGACGTCGTATGTTTTGCAGAAGTCGATCACTACCGGATCGAGGGGACCCAGTGTGAAGAGGTAAGTGTAAACACTTAAAAACCCCTCCACGTGGGTAGTGATGCTCTCCTCGGGGCCTGGGATCTGAACCACGACCTCGTCTCCCCAGCCGCAGTCCTTCTTCATGGCTTTGAGGTATTTCTTTGCTATCGAAGTGATGTATCGAGATACATGTTCGCATCGGCCTGGGATATCGGGAGGATTTTCGATGTTAAAATCCTTCTTTATCACGCAAGGGCCGGGGGTAATTTCATGAAGAGCCGGCGACGCCACCGGTTTGGCCGACCCAGAAGTAGAAGAAGACGATGTTTTCTCTTTTTGGGGGACTGTTTGAAAGTTTTAGCCATAGATTTAAAACTAAGGAATGCAGGCGGTACCAGAGTGTGGTGTTTTACGGGAGCTTGAAGTTTTCTGGTGACCGGAGTAAAAATTAATTAGAAGAGAAGGAGATGAAGAGGAAAGAGTGAGTAGAGTAAATACAATGAAGAGGTAAAGTTTTTAAATCAAAGAAAGAACACCATATTTATAGATGAGGGCTGACGGTTCGGCGACGCTAGTGGCCGACCATTACTGGCGTGCATTTAATGTTTTGGGGAAGCGAACCGACGGGACGTTTCGGTCACTTCGAACGCCTACGTCATGGAACAACATCATCGTCAGAAACTCCGGGAGATCGAGGTTCAAGTCGTTTCTTATCATCTTATTCTAAGAAACGTGGGGACTATCTGTATACGGTCTAAATCGGGGATGCTCAATTTTCCCAGGCTAGAGGGATCGCCTTAAGCCCGAGTTCAGGTAAGATCGAGTTCGAGCCCGAAGGACTAGACTCGAGCTCATTGACAGAGTGCAAGTCCCGAAGATTGAAGTACGATGAACACCGAAGCCGAGTGCACTCGACCCCGAAATAGTGCCGTTATTTTAATCATATTTTGTTTTTTTTTTCCCTTGTTCTTTACCGCTTAGAATGCTCGAGTTCTGTTTCTCAAGCAAGCCAACACTATCAAACTCTTACAAACAAGTACCACTCAGGGGCGGCTCTAAAGACTTGGGCAGTGAGGCAGTCGCCTTAGGCCCCCAAAATTTGAAGGCCCCAAATTTATGTTAAATTCTTATTATTATTATTATTATTATTACTATATATTATATAAATTATATAAATAATTAGCATAAAGAAAAGTGTTACAATATATTATTTTGTTATTTGTTTGAGGTTATTTTATATAAATAAATTTATAAATTATGAAAATTTTCTTTACTAATTAATTAGTATATTTGCTTCAGTCTTCAATTTTAATTTTATCCTTTTTATATAGGAATTAAGTTATATATATCAACAACATAATGAATTTCTTTTACAATGTTCTCTCAAACAGCATGAACACAAAAGTATTCATGCATTGATTTTTTTTTTTTTTTTGAAGAGGGGTTTGATCCTAGGACTTTATTCCCTAGGTATAGCTATAAATAGTGAGCTCTACCATCATTATAGGGTTACGAATTTTTTGGCAAACTTATGCTATAATCAATACAAAGCTTTATACAATTTTATCTTCTTACTCCTTGATCTCATTATTGTTGTGCCCGGAAGCCCCGCTCCCGGAATTACTATTTCTGTTATTTCGTCTTCATTTCAAGACTAAGTATTGCGTATTTGTTCAATTATTTTATTATTTCATGATCGAATTAATTCACTTGTCTAGAAACAACGTATAAATTCAATTGTACTTTTTTACGGGGTAAACAAGTCTAGTGACAAAACCTAGTTTAGATGTTTTATGGAAAAAATAAATAGATCGGACAATAACATATTTAATTTACCAAATTTAAGATGCGATGCACTTAATTAAGAGTTGCCTCTGTTATATTTTTCTATAAAATACATATCCGTCAAACATAGCATACTTAAATCTTCTGCATACCTAATATTTTGCCTGTATAAAAGGACAACATCTCGAGCATGCAATCACCGTATTAGAAAACAAAGACTAAAAGATGTCAGTCTTTGCAGTTATTCCATTCTTTCTATTTCTGTTTTTTATTCTCAGATCACATTTCCCCTCATCCAAAACTAAGAAAAAACTTCCACCATCTCCATCAAAGCTTCCATTAATCGGCCACTTCCACAAACTGGGCTTACAACCTCACCGCTCTCTACAAAAACTATCAAATGAACATGGTCCCATGATGATGCTTCAGTTCGGTAGCGTACCTGTGCTTATCGCTTCATCAGCTGAAGCTGCTTCCGAAATCATGAAAACCCAAGATTTGTCTTTTGCAAACAAACCCATTTCAGCCATTCCCAGCAAGCTTTTCTTCGGCCCAAAGGACGTTGCCTTCACCCCTTATGGGGATTACTGGAGGAATGCCAGAAGCATTTGCATGCTTCAGCTTTTGAACAACAAAAGAGTCCAATCTTTTCGAAAGATAAGGGAAGAAGAGACTTCTCTTCTTCTCCAGAGGATTAGGGAATCGCCAAATAGAGAAGTTGATTTGACGGAGCTGTTCGTATCCATGACTAACGACATAGTTTGCAGGGTGGCCTTAGGAAGGAAGTATTGTGATGGGGAAGAAGGGAGAAAGTTCAAGTCTTTGCTGTTAGAGTTTGTGGAATTGTTAGGAGTTTTTAACATAGGAGATTACATGACGTGGCTTGCATGGATGAATCGTTTCAATGGTTTGAATGCCAAAGTGGATAAAGTGGCGAAAGAGTTTGATGCATTTTTGGAGGGTGTGATTGAGGAACACAGAGGAAATAAGAAATCAGACACTGAAGCTGAAGGGGCAGACTTCGTGGATATATTATTGCAGGTTCAGAAAGAAAACAAGGCTGGTTTTCAAGTCGAAATGGATGCAATCAAAGCTATTATCATGGTATAAATATATATATCACTAGCTATTTCTCTCTTATATAATTACCCTCCAACGAACAAACTAAACTAAAAGAGAAAATTATTAATTGTTTGTTGCAGGATATGTTTGCTGCGGGAACGGATACAACTTCCACACTTCTAGAGTGGACAATGAACGAGCTCTTAAGAAATCCAAAAACTTTGAATAAGTTGAGAGATGAGGTGAGACAAGTGACTCAAGGGAAGACAGAGGTAACAGAGGATGACTTAGAGAAAATGCCGTATTTAAGAGCAGCAGTAAAGGAGAGTTCTAGGCTACACTCTCCAGTGCCACTTCTTCCTCGAAAAGCAATTAGGGATGCAAAGGTTTTGGGCTACGATATAGCTGCAGGGACTCAAGTCCTCGTTTGTCCATGGGCAATCTCAAGAGATCCAAACCTTTGGGAAAATCCAGAGGAATTTCAACCTGAAAGATTCCTGGATACTTGCATAGATTACAAAGGCTTACATTTCGAGTTAATTCCATTCGGGGCTGGTCGGAGGGGTTGTCCTGGCATCACATTTGCTAAGTTTGTAAATGAGCTAGCATTGGCAAGATTAATGTTCCATTTTGATTTCTCGCTACCCAACGGAGCTAAGCCTGAGGATTTGGACGTGGATGAAGCAGCTGGAATTACTGTTAGAAGGAAGTTCCCCCTTTTAGCCGTGGCCACTCCACGCTCGTGATTTTAATTTTAGAGCTCATTCTATGCCTTAAAAACTACTATTGGATTACTGGTAGTAAATAATGTTTGGTATGTATCAAATATATATCAAATGGCATGAAGTTTGACTACACCTTTATGAATATCGCTAGCATGTCGTACTAATTTAGCAAAATCTTATTGTTTAACAAAAAATGTGTATTTTGGTCAAAGCCTATTTTTATAAGAACTCGGGTTACTGATAACCAAGAAATTTCGTACTTTCTCAATTATTTGAAAGGAAAAGACAAAAATAAGTAAAGAAATAATTAATTGCAAGATTAAGATAGCAGAAAAGTAAAGTGAATATATTCCAATATAGTCTCAGATGATCCTTACAAATGAAATTCTCTTCCCTTTTATAGGGGTTTACAAATATAACGTTTCCTCCCTTTTATGGCCGAATTATTATGACATTAATGACATTAATGATCCGTTTATAGTAAACAATCGTAACTGTTTGTGGAGATTTTGTAACGGTTCCAATTCTTATTCCTCATTAATTAGAGGGTCATGAATATTCCCCTTCTTTCTGTCTTGATTCATTCAACCCATATTTGCTGAATGATTTAGACACGAGCAACTGCATCCCTTCATCCCGTGAGTGATTTGCCCGTGCCTCTTATATCTCGTGCATCTTCTAATGCAGTATTCCAGCTGTCATCTTCGGTCCATGTATCATGTCTTGTTAGCCACGCGTAATTCCACGTGTCATATTTATTTTCTAATAATACACTTATATACATAAAAATCTTTGTAACCTCAAACTATAGCAAAGGCTTTGGTGGTTTGGGATAGATGACAAGAATCTTGTATTTACCATATTTTACGATATTGTTGTCATAATTTCAGGTAGTTATTTACTTTATGCACTTAATTATGGCAATTCTGCTCTATAGAATGCAATTTTTTTCCGTCTAACATGACTAATGAGACTAAAAATGTTGTATCAGCACCACAAAACTAACTCTTAGAATCCTAAACCTATACTCCAATAGCCATGCACCCACTCCACGGTACATCGTGGAAAAATACTTTTTCATATTTGATGTTTGCACGAAATCAAATTAATTTTCATGATTAAATAACAAATGAAGGTAAGAGTATAGACACTTTAATGATAGTTAGGTTTGCAAGTTGATATAGAATTCTTACAAGGTGTTTCACATTTTTAATTTCATCTTACGGCACCATAGATAATTTTCAGACGTGAGAAGTATGGCCAACGGGACACCTGTAAATCCACAGAAGGAAAATTTTCAGAATTTTAAAGAGCAACGTGCACATATATACCAATAGCTTTTAATTCCAAATCAATTGATGCAATAATAAACTTCTTAGATTAGGTGAAAGAAGGAAATAAATGGGTAGGAAACATAGTTCAGGAAGTAAAAAAAATGTGTAAGTAAGAGTTGATTAATTGATAAAAGATACAAATAATTTTCCTTTTATTTGTAAAAGATGTAGTTGTTAATTAATTGACAAAACTTTAGACTTAAACTATTATAACTTGTAAAGAACATAATAACTAAATATGAAAATAAATTTACTTCCAGAGAAGAATTAAATAAATTGCCTCATTTTCAAAAAGAGAAATGCTCAAGATCATCATGTGGTTCTTGAGAGTCGACCTCGTTGGTCAAATTAGAAAATCATTTGCGCGACTTGGACTATTTTTCAAGTCGAAAATGTTTGCTGTCTGCATTATCTATGAACAGACGATTATGTTAATCTTTTGGATGACTTTTACGGGCAATCGCTAATGATAAGATATGACGATAATATAAACTAAGGTAGAATTTTATTGATATTTGATGTTTATACCAATTTAATAAATACATAATACATAGATTGTACTCTACTTCTAATGCGCACAGGGTATTTTAGCATATAAACGGTCCCCTATTGTTTACCTCGAAAATACGAGTCACAATTAAATTTGATTTGTGATTTTAAAGATATGTGATTTAGTTCAATACCAATTAATAACCAAGAAGCATAGAGTACAGATGAAAGAAAGGAGTAAATCAAACCGGTGTTATTAGACAATATCGACCTCGAGCTCAGTGACCTCGAGATGAATCAAGAGCAATAAAGCAAGAACAATAAAGCTAAAGGACAATTCTGATGAACAATGAGCGAAAAGTAGAGAGTATATTCTTTGCCAATGATTAGATGATGCTTACAAAATGATTGGGGTCCCCTTTATATAATAGGGGAGCTCTAAATAAGGTACATTTTCATTTACAGTAAGGAATCTTATCGGGACAGCTGTCTAACCGCCTAGTACGGAATCGTACAATTCTACTCCCGGATTTGCACCATGATTTTGGGGACGTGGCAGGAATCTCGCTCGTTCTGTTACAAATCCATAACGACATTATTTCGGGGTTGAGCATACTCGGCTTCTATACTCATCATATTTCGATCCACGGGCATTGCACTCTGCCTTCGAGCTCGAGTCTGGTCCGTCGAGCTCGAACTCGACTTTGCCTGAACTCGGGCTTAAGACGACTCCTCGAATCCGGGAAATCGGTCATACCTGATTTCCACCATATACACTCATATCTTCCCTATTTAGACTTACTATGAAAAGAGAGCAGTTATTGTCCAATTAATTCAAAAGTTAGGTTCCTCTTAATGTAATGTTTGGAGTCAAAATCGGCAGCTGACAATAGGCATATGTACATGTCGCTTTCTAAAGGAAAAGAAAATTGAAATGAGAATCCCACATTACGGCATGAAATAGTTAGACAACTTATTAGTAGTTTTTTATCTTTAAATTGTTACATGTCAAACGGTTTACCCTCAAATTCGAGTAACAATTAAACTTGTATTGTGGTTTTAAAGATATCGAATTTAGTCCAATACTAATTGATGAACAAGGAATCTAATATATAAATTAAAGAGTAAGGTAAGCCAAACCAGCATGTAAGCAGACCCTGACCTCGAGCAGTGGCGACCTCGAGGTAGGTGGATAAGAACAATAAAATAATAAGGCAAATCAGATGGACAGTAAGCAAGAAAGTGAAATATGTATATTATCCTCTCAATGATTGATGTGTTACAAATGATTGGGGTCCCCTTTATATACTAGGGGAATCCTAAATAAGGTACAATTCTAATTGTAGTAGGGAATCTTATTATACAGCTGTCTAACCACCTAGTACAAATTCGTTCCGGAATTTACGCCGTGATCTTAGGGCCTCCGCGAGAATCTCGCTCTTTTTGTTACAAAACCATAATGGTATTATCTCGAGGTTGGTCATACTCGGCCCCGGTGCTCGTCGAGCACTTTGATCTTCGAGTTTCGTATTCTTCCATCGAGCTCTGCCCGGTCCATATTGAACTTGCTCTCGACACGATGCCTCGAGCCTACAAATCGGGGACACATGATTTTGACTCTATACATATAGTCCCCGCGTTTCTTAGAATAAAATGGTAACAAAAACGACTTGAGCCCCAATTTTTCGGAGTCCTTGATGATGACATCATTCCCGTGACGTAGGCGCTCGAAGTGACCGAAACGTCTTGTCGGTTCGCCTCCCCAAAATATTAAATGCTTCACCTGTAGTGGTCGGCCACTAGCGCCATCGAACCATCGCCGCTTGCCTATAAATATAAGGCTCAAATTCGAATAAAAAACTTTACTTCCATCTTCAAACTTCCTTTATCTCTCCCCCTCTTCATCTTCCTCTCCCATTACCTGTTACTCTCACCTTTTGGTGCCAAAAGACGTCAAACTCCGCCTATTTCCGCTTCCTCTAACTCGAATCAATGGCGAAAACCTCCAAAACAATTCCTCAAAAAGAGAAAGCTTCCTCCTCCTCTTCTCGGCCGGCCGGTGATAAAGAGCCGGCCCTTCACGAGATTATTCCCTAACACTGTGTTATAAAGAAAGACTTCAGAGTTGAAAATCCCCCACGATTCCTGGACGATGCGAGCATTTATCGAGGTATATTTTCTCGATAACGGAGAAGCACCTCAAGGCCATGAAGAAGGACTGTGGCTGGGGGGACAAGGCCGTGGTACAGATCCCTGCCCCCGAGGAGAGTATCACTACTCATGTGGAGGGGTTCTTAAGTGTTTACACTTACCCCTTCACGTTTGGTCCCCTCGATCCAATTGTGATCGACTTCTGCAAGAGGTATCAGGTCACCCTCGGCCAAATCCATCCTTCTTTCTGGCGTATAGTGATTATGCTTCGCTATTTCTCCAGCAAGGTCGAGGGGCTAGAGTTCACCCTCAATCAACTCATCCGATTATATCGGCCTTAGCTTTTCCGAGGGCTGATCAAGCTCCAACGCCGATCGACCAAGGCCTTCTTCGCTAGCAATGACGAGGATAAGGACCGAGGCTGGATGAGCCGATTCGTACGAGTGAGGACCTCTGACGTTATCTCGGAGGGGAAAATGCCGTTCCAGGAGAAATGGAACCCTGATCGTAAGTGAAGTTTTTCCCTAGTTGCTTCTAGTATTCCGTTTTCGCATTGTGTGATGCCTTTCATCTTTTTTGCAGCGGTTTCTTGGATGCCTCATGCTATCGCCGACCTCGAGGAATGGGTCCGTAAATTTGCTGCGACCTCCTCGTATGACGAGCGCCGATGGCGTGACTTGGCGAGGGGCAGATGGGAAGCCAAACACCAGGGTAAGTTCCTCTCACAAGTTTTCAATGCTTTCCTTTTAATGGATACGTTACTTTGCTCATACCTATTTTTCATTCATATAGGCATTAGAGATGTCTCTGAAATGAGGCCAGCCCCGCCCGAGGAGGAAACCGTGTCCCCGATTCCGAAATCGGGGAAAGATAATAAGAGAAAAAAGGTTTTGAAGCCTGAAGACCACCAAGATGGAAGGGGTCCTACTCTAAGACATAGGAGGAATCTTATCCATGTGGACATCGACTCAGTCCACCAGCTGAACGACGAAGAAGAAGACGAGAGCGAAGAATCAGTGCTGGTGACCCGAACCAGGAAACAAACCGAAGCCGCCAAGCCCTCCGAACTGGAGACCCTACCTCTTGGTGAGGAGACTCTGAATAAAGACGTGGGCAAAGCCCGTGAATTACCCGAGGTTGAAGTTATTCCTCGACCATCAACAAACAC